ACCTATGAAGTAAGGGCCCTCATGACCCATCCCCCTTTCCTTTTTTCTCTTCTCTTCTCTTCTCTTCTCTTCTCTTCTCTTCTCTTCTCTTCTCTTCCCTCCCTCCCTCCCTCCCTCCCTCCCTCCTTTCTTTCTTTCTTTCTTTCTTTCTTTTCCAGACAGTTTCTCTGTGTAGCTTTGAGCCTTAGACCAGGCTGGCCTCGAACTCTGAGAGATCCACCTGCCTCTGCCTCCCAAGTACTGGGATGAAGGCGTGCGCCACCACCGCCACCCTCCCCCGTTCATCTCAACCTTTTTGCATCGAGGATTAAGTTTCCGATACAAGTCTAGAGGTGGTGGCACACAACTCATCCAGGGAGGTTAGGATAGGATCGCAGGTCTGAGGCCAGCCAGAGATAAGATTGTATCCTGGAAAAAAAGAAAAGCCCAAGCAAAACGTTTGTAGCATTTGAATCCCCAAACAGTAAGAAATCTCGTTGTGGTGTGTGACCTGTCCCCTGTAGGCTCATGTGTTGGAATACTGTTTCCTATTCCCTAGTGCTGCTGTTTTCACCAGTTCTGGAGCGCTTGGGAGTCACAGCTTAGCCACAAGCGGGTCACTGAAGGTGGCCTTAAGGTTTGGTAGCTCAACCCTACTTCTAAACCTTGTCACTACTTCTTGGACCATCCCAGTGAGCAAGCATCCTCACACCTGTGCCCATGCTGGCTGCAAGCATCCTTACGCCTCCATCCTTGCTGTAAGCGTCCTTACACCCCCGCCCTTGCTGCAAGCATCCTTATGCCCCCGCCCTTCTTGTAAGCGTCCTCACACTCCTGCCTCTGATGCAAGCATCCCTGCAGACTTCCTCCCCTCAAGCGATAAGCTAGAATAAATCCTGAAGTAGCTAATATATCTAGTCTCAAGATCCCATTGTAGCAGCAAAAAAGCAATCTTGGCTGTAAAAACCACAAATAATGTTCTGGAGATAGATACAGGCAGCAAAAATATTAAATACTGAATATAAAACATTAAAATTTTATTCCCATGAGGATCAAATATTAATGAAAACGGAAAGGTATTGGAGTTAAACCACTTCCAGGGAGAGATGGCAGGAAGGCTGATTGCCTCAGACTTACAGCCCAAGCGCTACACTTCAGACTAGGTACTTTACTAGAAGTGAACTTTCCCTTCCAGGTCAAAGTGGCAACGTAGGACATTTTAAGCGCAGTACAGTGGTAGAGCTTGTTAGCTTGCGTGAAGTGCTGTTTGATCTCCAGAACTGGAAAGGAAAAAAAGAAAAAGAATTAAAAAAAATTAAATCATGACTGTTAGAACACATGTCTGGTTTTAAGAAAGCATTAGATTGAATTGTAGAAAATAGAAGTGGGCAGGAAAAGAACCTGGGAAAACACAGGAAACGTCCTAGGCGTCTTAGCACCAGACAGGCATCCTTCTTTGTGACGTGACAAGCTGGGGTGGGGGTGGGATGCAGTTATCAGCAGGGTATTCCCAAGAACATAGACTTTCCAAAAGTTAGAAAATGAAATTTATGCCCTGGCAATGCTGAAGTATACAAGGTATACAGCAGTTCTATTGAACCTGTCCATGTTGGGTCTCATCGTCTAAGTTAATGAGAAGTCTGACCAGGTCGCTTTCTCAAGAGGGCACCAGCTCACATTCCAGGTGGTTGCTGGGAGTTGAACTCAGGACCTTTGGGAGAGCAGGCAGTGCTCTTAACTGCTGAGCCAGCTCTCCAGCCTTTCCACACAGAGGGAAATGGGAATGGTTCCCTGGAAAGGTTTGTAGTCGGGCAGGTGCCATCAGTGTCACGGGAGCGTGGATGAGGCTCTGACCAGGGAAGCTGCTCACAAACCGGTGTAGCTATTCTGGAGAAGGATGTCGCAGCGTGTCTGAGAGGAAATGCCCACAGAGGTTGGGCAGCTTTGTGGTGCTTACGTCACTGCTGCCCATAGCCTGAGGGTCCAGCTGGAGGACAGCGGAGTTAGGGTGAGATCACACTGGCGATCACACTGGCGGGCCTACTGAAGCACGGGACTTTAAGGGAGTAGCTGCAGAGCCACTGTGCGTCAGTTCTGCCTCTGTGAGGTGGCCCCTTGGGGTTCTTGTGATCTGTAGAGTGCTCAGGGTGTGGCATGAGCTAGCTAAGTGCCAAGTGGGTGTTTGCTTGGCACACACCTACAGGTAGAACTCACAGAGATCTGCCTAGTTTTTTTTTTAAAAAAAAGATTTTATTTTTTGAGTATTTTTATTTTGCATGCATGTGTACCATGTATGTGCAGTGCCCATGGAGGCCTGAAGAGGGCATTGGAGTCCCCTGGAACTGGAGTTGCAGGTGGATGCTGTCCTCTGTAAGAATAAGGGCTCTTAACCACTGAGCTGTGTCCTCAGCTCCTGGGTGGTGGATTCTAAGGTAAACTGTAGGTACTTGTTGGGCTTTCCTCCCCAGTGTCTGCCCCACAGTGTTCATGCACATGCACTGTGCGTGTGTTTCTCATGCTGCAGCCTCGCCCACCCTTTTCCTCCAGGTTCCCCATCCCTAGCTGCCTTGGCTGTGGTCCTGGGGACTGGTGGGATGGGTGAGCAGGGAAGGCCAGTTGAAGAGACTCCTGACCTGACTGCAGGGGGTGTGGGCGGGAGGCCTTCATCTATTAAAAGGCTAGGTGGCCTTGTGGTTGGAATTCTGCCATTGGCTGTAAATAGCCAGTGTGTGTGTGTGTGTGTGTGTGTGTGTGTGTGTGAGAGAGAGAGAGAGAGAGAGAGAGAGAGAGAGAGAGAGAGAGCGCGCCTAGGAGGAGAGAGGACGTGGGAGGCCCCTGGGTCTCCAGCTGGCAGCAACCTGGGTGTGGTGTGGGAGGGGTGTGGAATGTCACATGGGTTGCAAGGCTTGCAGGCTGGCTTGGTGTGAGGTCTGGACTGGAAGGATCACCACAACCCTAGGAGGCAGGGGCTGTCGGTCACCGCTCCACAGAGTGGCTAGGAGAGCAGGCAAAGCTGCAGAGCGGGATTTGGAGTCTGAGGGGTCTGGTCAGTTGCTCAGGTGACATCCTGAGCCTTTGGGTGGACTTCCCAGGAAGTGCCAGAGGGACTCCTGCCTGACCGTGGTCTGGAGAGAGGAGCTGGAGCAGCCTCAGGCCCCTCTGTGTGTATTGTTCCCCTGTGACTCCCGACCCTGAAGAAGGGGCTGATTGCTGTCACAGTGGAGGTGGATGCCCTCCGGAGTTGGAGGTTGAGCCTAGGCTTCATGGAGCCACACATCCACGATGCCCGTGGTCTGTCCTCAGCGTCTGCAGGGGCAGTGCTTCACACTGAGGCCACCTAGCCTTGTTAGCCACTTCTTTTCAAAGTCCTTAACCAGTGTACCCACAGAACTCGGCCCATGTGCGCCTACCCATGTGTTCGGGGTCAGCTTTCCAGTCTTGTGGGGGAAGCTGAGCATCTAGGAAGCAATGGCTGAGGACACATACAAATGAACAATCTTCTACTTCTCAGCTCGGCATGGTGGCGCATGTCTTAATCCCAGAAAAAGCAGAGGCAGGCCGATCTCTGAGTTTGAGGCCAGCCTGGTCTACAGAGTGAGTTCCAGGGCAGTCAGTGCTACACAGAGAAACCGAGTCTCAAAAGACCACACACACACACACACACACACACACACACACACACAAATAATTAATAATAATAGTTTCTTCTCCTCGTCCAAGTGTTCGTGGCGCCAACACTTCACTTCCTCCTGGGCATTGTTTGGACTGTTTTACTCACACGCTTTTTGGACATGTCAGGAACTCCATGCTAACGTGGCTGCTCGTCCAGGTTGGAGAGAAGTAGCTCTCTCTGGACTGGGTACTTTACTGAGCTCCATTGCCAGTTACTGCCACAAGTAGCTTGGGGTATGTCGGCAATAAACATGCCTCCCAGGCTCTGGGCACTTGTTCAGGCTTTGTTTTAAAGCCTGCACTCTCCCCCTCAGAATCTTGCTCACAGATGTAAGCCCTGTGCTTGAACAGATTCCTGACTGGGGACGCTAGCGTGTGTCTCTGTGAGTGAGGTCCTGGTTGGGAGAAGCCAGTGCCTACCTTTATTTGAGCCCTGTTCTGGATCCTGAGACCTTTTATCTGGGCTAGGCTGGGTACTGCCATTCTGATTGGGTACCATTTGAACTTGTGGGTCCTGCCTAACACTTTGAGATTGGCTGTTTGCCCGAGTCTGGGACACCCTGGAAGGAGCCTCCTACCATGGTTGGGAGATGTGATGGTGGCTGCGACCTGACCTGCCGTAGTGAAGACTCCTCTGTGAATAACCAGTCAGGACCCCCCTCTCTGCACTGGGCCCTGGAATTCAATCAGGAGCTTATCGTGCTGCCGCCCTCAGGTCTGCTGGCAGTTAGAGGAAGCGGGGTGTGGACAGGCCAAATTAATACACTTTCCTTTAGGGTTTCCTCACAGGGTTCTGGAAGTGAGGTAGTAAATACCACCCCCTTGTCATGAGGGACCAAGACAGGGCCGGCCTCCTCTGGCTCTTGTGTACTCTTTTTCATCCTGCACCCAAAGTCTAATGGGGTCTTTGTGGGTGCTGTGACTGGTTGGTTGGGTTGATGACAGACGGGTTGGGTGAATAGGCTATGTGGAGGAGTGTTCAGCTATCTGGATGGAACTCCTGTTGGGGAAAGAATGTGTAAGAGTGGGTGGGTGTGGCAAACCCAGCTGCAAAGTTGATCTGTGATTGCAGCTTAGCCCTCCTGTCTGAGAAAAATGTCCCCTAGTGACCCCGGGAGCTTTCCTCTTTTCGGATAAGCTTAGATGTTCTGCAGTACCAGACAAGAACGAGTGCGGGGAGTTCCGTGGTTATGGGCTGGTGTGGGCAGGGAATGGAGGAAGAAAACCCTAGCCTGGTCCTCCAGGTGCTGGGTGTGGGTGGTGAGGGTCCAGTGTCAGGGCAGAGGGGTGGGTTGCTGTCTTCTCCAGGTGTCACTGGCCAGTGCTCAGCTTCTCTCTGGGGGGCGCAGGTTCCGGGCGCGGGGAGGCTGAGACTCGGGAGTGCATCTACTACAACGCCAACTGGGAGCTAGAGCGCACCAACCAGAGCGGCCTGGAGCGCTGTGAGGGCGAGCAGGACAAGCGGCTGCACTGCTACGCCTCCTGGCGCAACAGCTCGGGCACTATCGAACTCGTGAAGAAGGGCTGCTGGCTGGATGACTTCAATTGCTACGACAGGTATGCGAGGGGGCGCGTTCCTGCTGCTGAAGTCACCCCCTGATCTCAGGGTACCTGAGTTGGAAAACGGCTTGTGTTGCCGTGCCCAGGATGAACTCAGGCAGCATTTCAGTGTCTGTCTAACCTGGCTGTCCCTCTTAGACTTGGGTCGCTCTACAAGGGAAGAGGGTGAACCCTGCTTGCTGGTGTTCCCGGGAGCTGCTCTGTCTGTGGGGAGGGGCCGGGAGAGTCCTGCCTTCCCTGTCCCAGAGTTTGTAATGTGGACTCTGGGCCTTCAGGCAGGAGTGTGTGGCCACTGAGGAAAACCCCCAGGTGTACTTCTGCTGCTGTGAAGGCAACTTCTGCAACGAGCGCTTCACCCACTTGCCGGAGCCTGGAGGCCCAGAAGGTGAGGAGCCCGTGGGAAGAGGGGTCTAAGTGGGGCACCCTGGAGCCAGTGGGGAGTGGCTACAGGACCTACTGGAGTGTTGGAATGGGCGGACTGTGTGACACAGGGCTCCGTGTGTCTCCCAGTCACCTACGAGCCACCCCCGACAGCCCCCACCCTGCTCACGGTACTGGCTTACTCGCTGCTGCCCATTGGGGGCCTCTCCCTCATTATCCTGCTGGCCTTCTGGATGTATCGGCATCGCAAGCCTCCCTACGGCCACGTGGATGTCCATGAGGTGAGCCGGTGTCAGCGTGGGGGCAGGGCAGGGAGGAGGGACTGCTGGACAGACTCCTTTTAGTCCTTGCTTTCCCAGGACCCCGGACCTCCACCCCCATCCCCTCTGGTGGGCCTGAAGCCGCTGCAGCTGCTGGAGATCAAGGCTCGGGGTCGCTTTGGCTGTGTTTGGAAGGCTCAGCTCATGAATGACTTCGTGGCTGTAAAGATCTTCCCACTGCAGGTGAGTGTTCAGGCCATCTTCTCTCTCCGTGGTCCAAACTTTGACCCATGCTGGTTTGGGGTTTCGCTTTTACTTCCATGTTATGTATGTGGTTTACATGTTTATGTTTGCACAGGTCTGTGTGTGGAAGCTGGAGTTTGACACTGAGTTTTTCCTTTATTACACCCCACCTTTTTTTTCGAGACAGTGTTTCAGTATGTAGTCCTGGTGGCCTGGAACCCACAGAGATCTACCTGCCTCCACTCCCACTTTCAGTGCTGGAGTTAAAAGTGTGTACCACCATGCCTGGCTCTCTGCCCTTCACAAATTTATTTTTTTATTTTTATTCATTTATTTATTTTTTTATTTTTTGGTTTTTTGAGACAAGGTTTCTCCGTAGACTTCACAAAATTTTTATTTATTTATTTATTTATTTATTTATTTATTTATTTATTGTTTGGGTTTTTCCAGACAGGGTTTCTCTGTGGCTTTGGAGCCTGTCCTGGAACTAGCTCTGTAGACCAGGCTGGTCTCAAACTCACAGAGATCCGCCTGCCTCTGCCTCCTGAGTGCTGGGATTAAAGGCATGCGCCACCATCGCCCGGCTTTATTTTTAATAAGAAGTATTTATTTTTATGTGTATGGGTGTTTTGTCTGCATGCGTCTTTGCTTACCACATGCATACCTGTTGCCTGTGGAGGCCAGAAGAGGATGTTGGATCCGTGAGACTGGGGTTACAGACAGTGGTGAGCCTCCCTGTATATGTTGTGTTGGGAGTTGAACCTGGGTGTTCAGGAAGAGCAGCCAGTGCTTTTAACCTCAGAGCCATCTCTCCAGCGTCTTACTTTTTAATTTTTTTCAAGACAAGGACTCTCACTGAGCCTGGGACTCACTGATTGGATAGGCCAGTTGGCAAGCAAGTCCCAGGGATCCTCCATCTCTGCCCCTCCTGCTTCCAGCACTGGGGTTGCTCTTGTACACCAGGCTGACCTTGAACTCACAGTGATCCGCCTGCCTCTGCCTCCCGAGTGCTGGGATTAAAGGCGTGTAGCTGTTGGGGATCCGAACTTGGGTCTTCGTGTTTGTCAGGCAGGACTTTACCTCCTGAGTTATCTCCCTGGGTCCTGAGTTTGGTTTTTGACTTTATGATCTCCTCAGAGGCTTCAGACACCAGGCAACCCAAGTAGCTATTGCCCAGTTTGCTTAGCAAATCAAGTGCTTGCGGACTGACCCTGGGTACCTCCTCAGCATTTGTGGTCCCACTTGTAGATCGGGGTGCTGGTGTCAGCCTCCTCAGGGGTTGCCGTTGGCCTGGTTCTCCAGATGTGTCTTACAGCTGCTGAGGTGGGGAAGCCAGGGACTGGGCATGGAGATGGGTGTGTTGGGTGGCTGTCCTGCCGTGGGGCTCCGAGGGGCAGGACTGAGCTGCCTCCCTGCCGCAGGACAAGCAGTCGTGGCAGAGCGAACGGGAGATCTTCAGCACGCCAGGCATGAAGCACGAGAACCTGTTGCAGTTCATTGCTGCCGAGAAGCGAGGCTCCAACCTGGAAGTGGAGCTGTGGCTCATCACAGCCTTCCACGACAAGGTGAGCTCCCCCCGCCGGAAAGACCCCAGCGGACAGATGGGTCTCGTGGTGGTTTTGTGATTAGGGTAGATGACCCCTGTACCAGGTGCACCTGTTACTCTGGGCCACTTTCTGGGGCAAGAATCATCACTTTGCCCGTTCTGCGTATTGCAGAGGCTGGGTTGGGTTGCATCTTGTCCTGCATTCTGCGTATTGCAGAGGCTGGGTTGGGTTGCATCTTGTCCTGCATTTGGAGCTTTTGCCCACAGTCTGTGCTGCCTTCTTTTAGGGCTCCCTCACGGATTACCTCAAGGGGAACATTATCACCTGGAACGAACTGTGTCATGTGGCAGAGACAATGTCACGAGGCCTCTCGTACCTGCACGAGGATGTGCCCTGGTGCCGTGGCGAGGGCCACAAGCCTTCTATTGCCCACAGGTACCTGGATTAAGGAGCTCTTCCTGCTCTTGTGCTGGGTTGCCCAGAGGGCTAGTGTTGGAAACCAGAGGCGCCTCCCTGTGGTGTGTCAGAGCAAATCTGGCCTTCCTGTGTTCCAGGATAGCTAGCTCTCCAGGCCAGTGTTCTGGAGCCCTCTGCTGGGCACATGAGGAAGTGCTGACTCCTTTGCTTAGGAGAGCTGGCCTTTCTAGTTCTCAGATGTTGGTCAAGAGCATTTTGTATCCTTAGAAGGACTCTATTTATCTAATCTGTGTAGGTTATGTTTGCTGATGCTTGCTGGTATATAGCTTGTGTGTTTGGTTATGTATGATGGCGATGGCATTTTACTCCCAGGATGAGCTTAAAAAGGCAAACGATAGATTATTACAGAAATGATACAGGGCTCGTAAAACTGTCTTAGGATCTTTTAGGATTTCTGAGCCATCCCCCGTGTGTGTGTGTGTGTGTGTGTGTGTGTGTGTTTCGAGACAGGGTTTCTCTGTGGCTTTGGAGCCTGTTCTGGAGCTAGCTCTTGTAGACCAGGCTGGCCTTGAATTTAGAGAGATCCTCCTGCCTCTGCCTCCAAAGTGCTGGGATTAAAGGTGTGTGCCACCATCACTCAACCATCCTTTTTTTTTTTTTCAAGTTAGCGTTTCATTATATAGCTCAGGCTATCATGACTCCATGGCCTCCAGACTCTAGGCATATAGACAGGAGCCATCATGCCAGCCTTGAATTTCACCTTAAGAGCCACCTAGTTAACTTGGCACTGTTGTGTGCAATTAACTGGCACTCACTGGGGCCAGGCTGGATAATACACACCTTTAATCTCAGCACTAAGGAGGCAGGAGCAGGTGGAGCTTTGTGAGTTTAATACCAGTCTGGTCTACACAGTGAATTCCAGGTCAACCAAGGCCACACAATGAGACCCTTCTCACCCCCTCCACCCCCAAAAGAAGACTCTGGCAGTAGCTGTTCCAAACACTCAAAAAATGTCACCTCCCTGAACCCTGTTCCAGTCGGGTGAGGTGAAGCTGATCTGTCAGTCCCACCGTAGAGGTGGTGGAGCTGTGGGTGGAGCAGTAGCACAGAGACTGCAACTTCGTGGAGGCCCCGGAACGACTTCAGTCTGGCCCTGTGACTGAGGGAGGGATGAGCCTCCCTGTTGACTGTTGGCTTCAAAGCTGAAGGGTTCCCGATGGTGTTGATAGTAGTGAGAGAAGGCTGTGTGTGAGGCAAAGGTTGGCGCTTGCTCACATGGTTCAGCCTAGCAGCAGCACCTAGTACATGTAGGGCTGGCCTGAAGCGTCTGTGTGGTCCTCAGTTTAATCCTCACAGCCAGGCTGAGAGATAAGTTGGGGAGACTGGGGGCTTGAGGACCCCGAGTTGCGGCAGAGCTGAGGCCACACACTCCCTGCTCTGCCCCGCCGTGCAGCTGTGGCAAGCAGCTTTTAGACTCTTGTTCCTTTCCAAACATTGAGAACTTCTCGGAAGACTCGTGTGCCGTGTCCTCTGAGAATCTTTGGACTGACTTTTAGGATCTGCCCAGCCACCACAGCCTGTTCTGCAGGCTCTGGCAGAAGCCTTCTGGAGGGGGCAGTGCAGGACTCCCAAGCAGCTTTCCCTCCCTCCCCCGGAGAGTTGGGGATGGTTTAAGATGGGAGTTGCACACCCACGCTCTAGCACTGTGAGAGCCATAGTGGGAGGAGGGTCCTGATCCCTCCAGCTCACGGCGGGCTGGGTGTTGATGAGCTTCAGCTAGACTCTGGGCCTCCACAGGGACTTCAAAAGCAAGAATGTCCTGCTGAAGAGTGACCTCACTGCTGTGCTGGCAGACTTTGGCCTGGCTGTTCGGTTTGAGCCGGGGAAGCCTCCAGGGGACACCCATGGGCAGGTAAGGAGTCTGGACAGCGGAGTTAGGAGCCGGCACAGGGCTGTTGCTCCTGCGCTCAGCCAGATTGACTGTGGAGCTGCCTGGGAACTCAGAGAACCGGGGTTCTTGTCTCACCAGCGGGGAAACCAAGGCTTGGAGGTTGGCGAAGCTTCCTCTAACCAGGCAGCTGAGCAATCCAGGATCCCCATTTGGGCTTCGGCCACTACTCCTGTATTTTAGTCTTTTTCTGTTGTAATTATTTATTTTTCAAAAATACATTTCATGTGTGTGCGTGTGTATGTGTATATGTGTGTATGTGTGTGCATGCATGCGTGTGTGTGCGTGCATGTGTGTGTGTATGCGCGTTCGTGCATGCATGCATGTTTTATTTAGGGGTCAGTTTTGGGGAAGTCTGGGGTACTCACTGGGTGTCTTGCTTGATCACCTGCCCCCTTGCATACGAAGGCTGGTCTTTCCCTTGAACCGGCATCTCATGCATCAGTCTAACCAGCTTGCTCTGGGGACCTCGCCCTGTTTTCCAGGTGCTGGTGTTGCAGGCAAGCTGCTTTATGCGGGTCCTAGGTATCCAAACTCATTTCATGCTTGAGTGACAAATACCATAGGAGCTAAGCCATCTCTCCATCTCCTTGTTTGTTAGAGGGTCTCTGTGTTGTTCAGGCGGGGCTGGAACTTGGATCTCTTGCCTCACCTTCCTAGTGCCTGGCTTTGCTTCAAGTAGTAATCTCGGTAGAGCACAAAGCCTTGGAGTAGCTTGTCGGGGTGTTCTGGGACCCGTGTAGCTAGTTTGTCAGTACTGTTTCCACTTGGTGATGTTTCTACAGTTATCATCAGCTATGATCTTAACTCTGATGGAGCAGGGCTTTATGCTTTGACTTTCTGTCTTAATCGGTCTGGTGTACACAGGCCGCGGTTCTCCCAGCTGAGTATGTATTTGAGTGTAGCTGGTCTCTGGAGACCCTGCCCTCCTTTGTGTTCCTGTAGGTTGGCACGAGACGGTACATGGCCCCTGAGGTACTGGAGGGAGCCATCAACTTCCAGAGAGATGCCTTCCTGCGCATCGACATGTACGCTATGGGGCTGGTGCTGTGGGAGCTGGTTTCTCGTTGCAAGGCTGCAGACGGTGAGTGGGTGGTAACTCTGTCGTCCTGGCCTGGGGACTGGGAGCTGGACGTCGAGTGATCTCACCAGCCTCTCACTTCTCAGGGCCTGTCGATGAGTACATGCTGCCCTTTGAGGAGGAGATTGGCCAGCACCCTTCACTGGAGGAACTGCAGGAGGTGGTTGTCCACAAGAAGATGAGGCCCACCATTAAGGATCACTGGCTGAAGCATCCGGTGAGGGAGCGGGGTTCAGGAGACTGGGGGTGTGTGCGAAGGGACCTGCCTTGTATGACAGGAGCCTAGGAGCGTAGGAACAAGGAAAGGGCGCCATGTTCCCTGGACCCTAGGGATGTATCTCTGAGGTTGTGGGGAATAAGGTAGACCCTGACCTCCTTCTTGTCCCCACTGTGGCTCAACTGCTAAATGTTGGGCCTTTGTGTTTGGATTTGTGTACCATTTGATTTGAGTTTAGTGCCGCAGCTGCTCCGGGGGAACAGGAGTTCCTCTTCTTCCTGTGTTGAAGTTTAGCGCACAGTTTTGTGGGTCTCTAAGGGAGGCCTGGACTCAGTGAGGTGACTGATAGGAGGGCAGGACTATGGAGGCCTACAGTGTGTAGCCTTCTAATCGACCTGCAGTGGCCGTGGCTGGGCCATCGGCTCTGCCTGATCCCGACACATCGTCACTTGCTGCCCTAACAAGGATCCCCCCCCCCCCCCCCCGGCTCTGCAGGGCCTGGCCCAGCTCTGTGTGACCATTGAGGAGTGCTGGGACCACGATGCCGAGGCTCGCCTTTCTGCGGGCTGCGTGGAGGAGCGGGTGTCCCTCATCAGGAGGTCGGTCAACGGCACTACCTCGGACTGTCTAGTCTCTCTGGTGACCTCCGTCACCAATGTGGATCTGCCCCCTAAAGAGTCCAGCATCTAAGCCTAGGATACGAGCGTCTCTCCAGACTCAGTGGATCTGAAGACAAAAGGAAAAAAGTTGTGTTTTGTTTTGGAAATCCCATATAACCAACAAACACATAAAATGCAGCTGCTATTTTACCTTGACTTTTATTATTATTATAATTATTATTAATAATATTATTTTTGGATTGGATCAGTTTTTACCAGCATATTGTTCTACTGTATCGCAAACAGCGGACACGTCAGCAGGCGTTGAGGTGCTGAGCTGTGAATGCAGAACCAGCGCCGTGCTGAAGAGCCTCAGCCACCTCCTGTCCTTCGGGATCTGTTCCCCCAGCATTCTTTTTGTCGTCTCAGCGTCTGTAACACAAAGAAACCCATCTCCTGTCCTAGGAACCTCAATGCTGCAATCTCTACTAGAGGAACCTTTGAAGACTGTTACATGAACATACCCTTGCTCAGAAGAGGGTCCCCCTACCCCTTTATTTTGTGTTTCTCCCTTTTCAGGCAGTGAGCTTACGAAATGGCAGATGTGTCTTCATGGATCTGATGGGTGTCATCCTGACCCAGCAGAGGGAAACAGAGATGAAGGAGGATGGTCTAGACCGAAGTTGGAGGGAGGATGTTTCTGGGGCGGGTTGGGAGCGGAGCTACACTGGACTTGGGCACATTTGGAGCAACACCCTTGGCTATGGAGGCTGTTTTCTCAGGTAACCAGGGATCGAGGGCAAGGACCTTCTGGGGGCCGAGCAGTAATAATGGCAAGCACAGGCAGGGTCTGGGAAAGTCCGGGAGCGGGGCCAGGCTGCTCTGCCTGCCTGTTTTCTTCATACTAACTTGGGCTTGCCCACAGGAGGAAATACTACCTTGCTGGCGTCTTAAGACTAGGTGGGGGCATTACAGCTTAGTGGATGTTCTTCGTTAGACATGATGGATACTGTGGATCTTTATGGAAGAGACACCGAACTGCAGTTTCCTGTTGGCAATTTGGGGAGATGCCTGTGGGGCCCACTGCATGGGATGAGTGGCCCAGAGGATCCCTGGGTGGGGGCCTTGCTGGCCTGCAGCTCTGGCTTGGCCCCATGCAGCAGCATTATTGGCTCCTGTCTGAGGCTCCTGGACACGGCTTTCTCTGGACCCTTTAAAGCGGTGCATGGTGCATATTCTAAAACTGTTTTCTCTTACGCCATAACCTTGCTCCAGGCGGTGAATGTTCCTAATGCTGCTGTTTCGACATTGGAATTTTTTTTTTATTTATGAAACATGCTAAATTTTTTTTTCAGACAGAACACACACATCCACATATATACACATCCTTTGCTGTGTGGCTTCCGAGGTTTAAATTTTAAAATGTAAAGGAAGTAACTTCACGACCACAGACCACCTCAAACCAGAAATACCTCAGAATTTTCTACTTGTGTATGTTTTATTAATTATATATTTTGTTAGTTGTGTTGTCTTGTAGGAAGTATATTTTAATGTGAGTTGGGTTTTATGACAAGGAAGTTTAAAAGAAATAGAGAAAAAGAAAAAAGCTTGTGTCTTCTAGCCAGCACTACCATTTTGTTTGCTAGGAGCTTCTTGTAAATAGCAGTCATCAGCCGTAGGTCACTGTCTGAGCTGGCTGGGCATGCGTCGCGTTGGGTTAGACTGGATTTAAACAGCACATCTCTGTCTTGAGGGTAGCCACTTCCTCCTTGGTTGCTTAGAGGGCCAGGTGTTGTTCCTTAAGTCCCCTGGGTAGTATTCAGCATGACACCCCTACTTTCACTTGGCAGAACCACAGCCCTCAGGCCCAGGTGAGGTAGAACTGGAGGGTTAATTCCTTCGGCTCAGCCTGTGACTATGCTGTGAAGTCTGGGAGGGCGCAGCTCAGAGCTGGGCAGCTGCTCCCTCAGCCTGTGGTGTGTGGTGCCCGGGGCAGCCTGGGCTTGTTCTTTTCTGTGGGTGTTTGTGTACAGGGTGCTGAGGAAGGCCAGTTGACTTCCCTCTCAGACCTTGGTCTTCGTTTCTGTGAATCACCGTGGTCTGGCCAGGTAGTTGGGGGGACATGGACTTTGTTTGTCTGTGTCCCCTCCTCCCCCGCCTGACTTTGTGCTTCGGGATTTCCTTCTCTCAGAAAACCTTTTCCTGGCGAAACAGGTCTTACAGCAGTTGCTTTTCCTTCCCACCTCTTTCTTTAAGAAGCTTTAAATATTTATTGAAAAGTGCCATATCTGCTTTCTTTAGCTTTCTTCTCAGGCAGTGGAGAGCTCTACTTTTGACCCTTAACAAACCACTAAGAAATGTAGATCCTTCGCTGTGGGAGTGACCCAGTCACCAGTCACACACTGTGCCAAACACTAAACCTAGATTCCCGTGTGCTCTTGTGACCCTGGGTGTTTTTCTCTTGTGTGCTGGCTTGGTTTTGTCATAGCATCTTGGCCTGGCTGAGCTCTGGTGTAGAACATCCCAGTCAGGGCAGGCCTGATACCGTTTCTGTGGGTGGCTTCCCACTTTGCTGACCCTGTGTCCAGCCACAACAGTGTCCTTGTCAGGGCTTTGCACCAGAATGGAGTGTCACGAGGGGGTACCTGTTCGGTGTGGCCTGGAGAAGGGAGAGTCGGGGTGGTGGTGTCTGTGAATAGGGGCTGGAGACCGCCTTGAGCCTTCGGGTAACACACCCAGTTGCTCATGGGAGCTAGGTGCTCTTCCAGAGTGGCCCTCATTTCTGTCTCTCTCTCTCTCTCTCTCTCTCTCTCTCTCTCTCTCTCTCTCCTTTTCTTTTTGTGTCCAGTGGGGTCATGGGGCCTCTGCCTTCCACTCTCTCACAGATTTTATGTCACTTTTCCTTCTAGTCCCCTGTCCCTAAGCTTCTGGAAGCCTGAGGAAGTCCCCGTGTGTTCAGAGGGATGAGATCAGTCAGGAGAGAAGCAGCTGGAGAGTTCTTTTCCCTTCACTGTATGTTGTGGTCCAGATAGGCTCCTGTGGCCGTGGGCTTTGGCAGAGAATGTTCTGGTTGAAAATCCCTGTGATAACAGGCAGTCATCCGTTGCCAGAGACTTCTGTGGCTGTGTCAGAGAAGGACAAAGCAAATGAAGACAGGGCTGCCGTGTCGTGGGGCCCTGCAGAAGACCCTCGTGAATGGCAAGGAAGACCATAGGCAGCCATTAGCGTCTGGGCTAACATGGGCTGGCCTGGTGCCCCCAACACCAGATGCACGGGGACGTGCTGGCCCTTCTGCTCAGACCTCCACAGCAAAGGCCAGACCTGCTTCTCATCACAAGGCTACCAGGCTGGCTGGGTGCAGCTGGGTCAGCCTTCCTGACAAGGCTTGTGCTTCTAGCATAGTGTATGATCCTGCCATGCTCTGTCCTCCCTGCCTGCCTGGACAACACCCGTGACCCTCTCTGTCTTGCTACTCTGTCCTAGGCCTTGGGCTTTATGAAGGAATTTTCTTGGTGGCCAGCCTACATCTATTTAATGTTTGCCATGCGTTTTGGCTCAGCCTGGCATGTGGTGGTTCCTTAGCTGCTTAGGCAAAGAAGTGACTGTTCCACCCAGAGCTAGAGGATTGGCTGGTTCTCTCTCACTCCCAGGGTTTCACTTTTGTAGTGTGTGAAGTTTAGTGTATACTGCTGGGTAGGAGGATGTCTTGTTTTTCCTAAATAATTAATACAGCAAAAGCTCACTGTACTATAGTTGAATTCCTGCCACTGTTCTCAAGAACTTGGCTCGTAGATGCGTCCCAGATCACAGGAAAGTTTCATTCAGCTCAAGCTTTACCATCGCCTGTTTCATCCTTTTGGACTTGGTGGCGCCTCTGGAGAGGTGATTCCGGAGCAGTAGGCGACACCTTTCCCAGAAGTGCTGTGTGCCGTCCAACCATCCTTCTGCTAACTGGGGAACTGGGCCAGAAAGGGTGACGGCAAGGTGTCCCTTTCCTCTCAGCGTGGGTGACGGGACCTCCCCTTCATCACTGGCTGTTTGTAAAGGCTAAATTTCACCAGCTGGCTTGTTTGGCCTGGTGTTGAGCTTAAATCCCAGCTAACATTGTTTTAGATAAGTAGGCTGAGTAGTTCAGCCGATGAGTCCTTTACAGTCTAGACGCCAAACTTTCCGTGCACCCAGGATTTATAATGTGTAGTTCTTTATGTGTGCTTTGGGGTAGCTCTGTAGCCAGCAATTCTACTGGGAATGTACCCCAGACCTCTGCTCTGGGAGGTTTAGGGAAGTGTTTTGGGATAATGATTTAGTTTTATAGAACATTAAATTAAGTTTAAAACACTTCCTTGGGAATCAATTAGTTGATTCCAACACATTTTAAAAAATTAGTTCAATCAATAAATCAGCCCAAGTTCTTTGGTGGGCTCTTGGGATATTGCTATTTGGACTTCTTTGCGATTGCTGTAAGTTACTGTTGGGCTGACAATTTGAACTGAGATCGGGAACGCCTACATCTTTTTTTCTAAACCAAGTTTAGCATTTTCATGCTGGCGTCTTCCAGGCATGAAGGAAGGAAAACTTTGACCTTGCGGTGCTATGCCTGTCTCCTTAGTGCCCAGGCCAGCGAGTGCCACTTCCCCATCCACGGAAGCACCTGGCAACGTTTCCCTAAAGAATTAAAACGCCAGCATGGAGCAGTGGGCTCTGCACGGCCTCTTGTTCTCCAGGCCTCTGTCCGTGGACTGTGTAGGCTGAGTTAGCGTAGGCTGCCGCATGGGTGCGCGTGGCTGCTGTCGGATCGGGGAGATCTGGACACCTGCAGCTGAGACGTACTACATTCGTTTGTAACCTGCGTGTTTGAGTTTACAGTTAGGAGGCGAGCGACCCCATTAGTCTTTTTGGGGAGGGGCAAGCAAAGGTGGGTTTTATGTGAGTGAACAAACACTGCCTCGAGTTCTGGAGCGCCCACCCTTCCCTGACTCCTGACCACTCTGCATCAGTGTTGTAGATAGTGTTGTAAATAAGAGTAGTTCTATTAAGAGACGTCACTTGAAGTTTTCCTTACAAAGTCCGTAGCTCCACCCATCTATTTAGTTCTGTCACGTGACGGTAGCCTCCACGCAGTGTGGAGATTGTTTTGTACTACAGATTATTTTTATAAACTAGTGAGTTGGAGTGAGATCGCTTCTGTAATCCAAGCCGATGAGCTTTACTTTCAGGATCGTGCGCACACTGGAGTACGAGGGCTGGAGCTTAGCGCTTGCATGGGTTCCTGGATACCCTGGCAGCCCGGAGTCGATTTACGGGTCCCCATTGCCCAAGCTCCACTCAGGGCAGTGAGGCCTCGGTCCTGCTTCCTGCCTGTGGAGGGAACAGTGGCCGGGCGAAGGGAGGAGCTTGTAGTGGGTTTAATTTATGCTGAACAAGGGGTTCTGAGGTTGAAACTTTGCTCCTTTCATGGAAGGTACCTGAAGCCCCGAAGGACGCATCTAGAGAAAGATTTGAGCCACAGAAAACATTCTAATGGGATTTGGTGGCCTGAGTTCCGCTAACCAGAACCATCTAGGACCATACTGAGCAATTCTTTGGAAACGGTGGGGCTCATGGATATAATGCAGGAACTAAGTGGAGGGTTCCCAGGCACGGTTTGTCCCTTTTGATCAGGGCTGCTTTCTGCTCTGTTGTGAAGCAGGAACCAACAGAGGAAACTCAGTACCCCAATCTCAGAGCGGGGTGTCTTTCAGATGCCCGCAGAGGGTTTCTGGCAAGGCCTAACTGGCCTTCATCTCAACTTTTGATTTTGGGGAGAGTGGGTGGGACTTTGCATAGGGATGGGGAGGTGGATAATTCAGCTAAATCATGTCCCATGGCCAGTTCTGAGGTTCAACCGAAGACCTCCTCCCTATACCCTGCCTGCTGGCTCCAGCCTGCTGCTTAGAGCACTGCACTGGATGGGTGCTCCCGCTAAGAGAGCCTTAGTGTGCTCTTTCAAGCCAGCCGTGGTCTCTTCATCCTGATTTAGAATGTTGTTTTACGTGTTATCTATCCCCTTTCTGCTAGGGACACTTAGTCCCAGCTCTAGCTGCATTTTGGAAGCCAGCTCCCCTGCTTCTGTTCCCCATAAAAGAAGACTTCTGTGCTCTCCAGCCGCCTGTCTCGGAATGTAATTCTGTTGTGCCTTGGTTTGTCACCCACTCCTCAAAAGCAACTGCAGTAAGCTTTCTCTACTTGTCTCTTCTAGCCCCCGCCCCTTCCCTGCCTCCCTTTCCAGCCCTGATTTCTGGATGCACTTGTGTGATCCGGGTACTTTAAGAACCGGTTACCTCAGACCTCACATTGAACGGTGTCTCCACCTGGGCTCTCTTGATAACTGCCGACTCTTACCACATGTGCAGGAGGCCCACTGAGTGTGGGCACTGACTCGTTTTAAAGCAAAACTCTTCCCAAATGGACCAGGGGCTCCTGGCAAGCCTGTCCTGGCGCTGCGGGGGGGAGTGGGGAACTGGTTGGGCATGTCATCCGAATGGTGCTTCCTGTGTCCTGTGCATTCTGCCGTGTTCAGTATTCTCCCGTGTCTGAATAAGCAGAGCAACCTAACTAGCTGGTCTCGCACGCAAGTGAGCTCCAAAGACCAGCTCTTCGTAACGCCCTCATTTCCAGTCTCCAGAGCTCAGACCTAGAACATTCCGTCAAACAGCAGGGTAGAAGCCCCACCCCCACCCCATCCACTGCCACAGTGTGTTCTGGGAAGATGTCTGTAGTGTATGTTGCTGTGGAATTAGGCCTTGTGGGATATGGCTGCTTGTCATTTTGATGTATTTTAAATAAATAAATATATATATATTTTTAAAGAGCCTTTTTTACCAGTTCAGAAAGCTTAATTAACCAGCTGTCATCACCTGAATTTTTGTCTCTGGGGCACAGACGGCAGGGTGAGATTAAAAGAGGTAACTCAGCCATGAGTTGCCTGCCCTGGGCTGCCCTGCTGTCCCGCTGACCATGGGACACTAGGGTCAGCTTGCACCTGGTGGGTTTCAACTCAGCCCTCCGGGTGTCTGGTGTCTGCCCTGCTTAGCGGACTGCTGACTTCAGTCCTTGCAAGTGCTTTAGCCCTAGTGGGGTTTTCCCAGAGCACTGCCACGAGCGAAGTGTATGAGTTTAGCCAAATAATTTCTCTATAAGGGAAAAGCGTGACAGAGACCAGAGTAGGAAACACAAGTTGTCAGAGGCCTCCTGGGAGCAAGCAGTTGTCACGTGGGCAGAGACCTCAGTTGAAATGCTAGGCCCACCAACAAGAACGCAATTATTAAAATGCCAGCAGCTTGCTTTCCCTCACTTTTCTTTTCCAGAATTCTATAAAAATGCAAAGACAGTTGGGTGGTACTTGAGAACTGAAGGCGAGGGTTACTGCAGATTAGCAACAAACTTGGAGATTTCAGTGCCATGACACAAATCCACACGATGCCATTTTCAACTGTGCGAGAGAATCTGCTTATGAACGCGACATGGTCCCAACGGTGACGTTAGAGGCCACATTTTCACCCGCTGCTCATTTTCCACAACTGCCCTTGAATCTGTCTTAGTGTTGTGCAGTACTGCAAACTCACCTTGCGTCGAGTTTGATGTCCATTCCCGTGGAGAAGAGCATTTGGCATGTGACAGACAGTGAGCTGGAAATAGAGCAGAGCATCGAATTTTGCAGGGACAGTGTTGGAACCAACAGAAAATGTCACTTTTTATTTACCATCTTATATATCAGTTTTACCAGCTACTTCTAAATTTGTACATTATTTGGAAGAAAAAAAAAACTTAAGACTTGTCTAACTTAGTGGAGAATGTGTGTGCTGCCCTTAGGATGGGTAGCTAAGTCTCACTGAGCTGTGTTATCTAACTTGTATATATGAATTGTAATCAAAAGCTTGGATTCATCTGTTTCTCACAGTTTAAAACGACGAGTCATTGCAAAGTCTGCAAGTGTGACTAGTCTATGATTTCAGGCTGTGTAGACGAGGAAGCTCTCTCAAGTGCTGAAACTAAAAACTTCTAGCTTGGGGCTCCAGTTCAATTGAGTACTGTTTGTTTGCCAGAATCTGTGAGGTGTAAATGTAGCGGGACACTTTCCACCCTTGTAGCTATAAAACAAACATTTTGTAGATCAGAAAATAGCTTGTACTACTGAATTAACAAAAGTTATACTAAAGTATCATGTCTTTAAAAAAATATATATATATATAAATATATATATATACAGAGTTAAGCTTGTTGCTGTTACCCTGTCTGGATTTGAAAAGTGTGCTGATTTATATATATCTATATATAACACACACACACACACACACACACACACACACACAATGGCCTGAAGCAGACATCCATGTAATTACAGTTGTGAAATGCAAATGTTTTGGAAAGAACATTGTATCATAGTTCATTCATTTGCAGTGGATCTTTGCTCCTTTTTCCTGTGGTAATTTTAGAAACGAGTGTCAAGTTTGAAATTAGATCTGCTAAGTTGGGGTTTTGCTGCTTGAATACTGCACTGGGTCCTCAAACAAACCGATGTGAATGTAGTTTTTCCCCCTGTGTGAAGGAGCAGCCACACCCCCCAACAGAATAGGAGGAAAAATCTAGAACTATTTCAAGTTTTATCTTTTTGTATATGAAAATAAATAATAATAAATAAGTAAACTTGTCTTTTTTCTTTTCTTTTTTTTTTAAAAAATTGTGAGTATCTCTGTATATGTGTATTTGTATGCTGTGTATGGATGCCTAGGGAGGCCAAAACTGGTGATCAGATCCCCTGGAGCTGGAGTTACTCAGGTAGTTGTGAGCTGACATGTGGGTGCTGGGAACTGAACTTAGATCCTCAGGAAGAGCAGCAAGTGCTTTTAACCACTGAGTCATCTCTCCAGCCCCTCCACCCTTCTTCCAAGACAGGGTTTCTCTGTGTAGCCTTGGCTCTCCTGAAACTAACTCACTTTGTAGATCAGGCTGTCCTTGTACTCCGGTCCACGTGCCTCTCCTGAGTGCTAGGATTAAAGGCGTGTTCCACTACCCCCTGGGTATTTTTCATTTTTAAACTGTGTGTGTGTGTGTGTGTGTGTGTGTGTGTGTGTGTGAGGTGCAGGGGAGTATTTGCATCTGAGTGCAATTCTGAGGAAGCAAGATGTTACATCTTCTGGAACTGGAGCTCCAGGTGGCTGTAGCTGCCCAGCATGGGTGCTGGGAATGGCCCTTGGGGTCTCTGCAGGAGCAGTGAGTGCTCTTACCACTGAGCCACTGCTGTCAGCAAAGATGTCCTCCGTCCCCCACATGCATGCCATGGCATGGGCATACACAGACACACTAGTAATCATACATGAAACTTTTTTTTTTTGAGACAGGGTTTTGCTGTAGTTTTAGAGCTTGTCCTGGACGACCAGGCTGGCCTCGAACTCACACAGATCCACCTGTCTCTGCCTCCTGAGTGCTGGGATTAAAGGCATGCGCCACCACCACCCGGCCATACATGAAACTTTTAAAACTAAAAACCAACCACAGCCCCATAGCTAGTGGCACCACATTCCAGCAGAGTACTTGGCAGATGGAAGCAAAATGGCCAGGGCCTTGGGGTCATCCCCTAAATGGACTATTCTGCGAGTAAGGGTGAGTTCCTGAAAGATAGGAGGATGTTTTCTGGAAGTGCCAGGAAGGCCACCTCAAGCCTTCCTCTGCTTTGCAGCCCATGCTGAGCAGAATTCTTAGGAGTGGGTCAGAGAAGCCCAGGTTCAGGTGCACGAGACTTGCCCTCCAGACCTGGCTAGGTGTGGGGTAACCGCTGAGCCACTGAGAAAATCAGCACCAAATGAGAGCCCAAATCCCCGAAGGAGTAGAGCAACACTGGTTTCTGTTGCCTTGCAGAGAACACAGCCTCGGAAACCAGCCTGCTGCTCTCTGCAGACACGGTTTTAAGTGGAGAAGCATTACTTTTGAGTCCTGCTTCTGGCCAGGCGGTAGCTGCCTTGTAAGTCACCCTTTCTTAAGTAAGCATCTGCTGGAAGACTCTTCAGTGGCCTTTACAGGCCTGCTGTGCAACCTCTGGCCCTTTCTAGTCTCTCAGATAATGTTTCATCAGTGAGTGCAGAAAAGAGATTTTTAGCCTGGTGGTGTACGCCTTTAATCCCAGAATTCTGAGCTAGAGGCAGGTAATTATTTGTGAGTTTGAGGCCAGCCTGGTCTACAGAGTGAGTTCCAGGACAGCCAGGACTACTCAAGAGAATCCTGTCTTGAAAAAAACCAACAACTGAATCCTTTTCTTTTTTCTTTTTTTTCTGTTCATCTAGAGAAACCTTTTCTTTTTTTAAAGACTGTGATTCACCATGTAGCCCTGGCTGGTCTGGACTTGTTACACAGACCAGGCTGGCCTTGAACTCTAAGAGACTGGCCTGCTTCTGCCTCCTCAGTGCTGGGATTAAGGCATGTGCCGCCAGGTCCAGCAAAACTCACAGTTTTGGCAAAGGAGTTGGAAAATCTTTAAGACTGGCTTTTAAGGCTTACCTGGCTGCTTCCCTATAGCAAAGGAACTTTCATGAAAAGAAACCACACTGTGAATAGTTTGTTAAAATAAATTTGAGAAGTAGAAAAGAACTCAAGAATTACCGCCTTATACCCCACTGATAAATCTCAAGCATCCCAGGGAAGACTAGGACTCCCTTGGACAGTTTAAAAACTGGTCCAGTCCTTTTATTTAGGTGGGCAAGCAGGTCCCCAGGATGCTTCACTGTCCCAGAGCAGCGGTCCTTCCAGTTCTTGGGGCCAAGTGGCATGTACGGTGACATTCAAGTAAAAGATCCAGATGACGAAAAACTCACCTGTGTGCTTTGTACTTAAAAAAAAAAAAAGTGGGTGGGCTGGAGAGATGGCTCAGAGGTTAAGAGCACTGGCTGCTCTTTCAGAGGTACTGAGTTCAATTCCCAGCAACCACATGGTGGCTCATAACCATCTGTACTGAGATCTGGCACTCTCCTCTGGCATGCGGGCATACATCAAGGCAGAATGTTGTATACATAATAAATAAATCTTTAAAAAAAAAAAGCGGGTGTTTTTCTGGCACCTGTCTGTGCACTGTGTGTTGTGCACACGATAGCCAGAAGAGGGCGTCAGATTCCCTGGGATGGAGTTCTAGCCTGTTGTGAGCCTCCCTGTAGGTTCACTTACCTCATCTTTGCACTTGGATGACTGTAACAAGTTCTGATGGCAGCTTCCAAAGTAGCCTTCATGGCCACTGACGAGTATTTTTTTTTTTTTGGTTGTATTATCAGGGTTTTCCATTGCACAAGACAGAAATTTCTAGGCTAAAAGGGGCTGTACTGGAAGGAGACCTGTGAGGTGGCCACCTATCTTGGGAAAAGGCAGGAAGTGGACTTCAAGAGCCTTAAGAGCTGGGGCCATTGAGTTGCAAGGTCTCCAGACCTGTACTTAAGCATTTGTTCTGTAATTGCTCTGTGGGGGGACCAGATACAGTTGCTGTGTGTTTACTGGGCTGGAAACTAGTCTGTAGATGGACGGAGGTGGGTAAATCACAGGCTACTACTTGGAGAGAGAACTCGGCCTCTGGCTCCATAGAAAGGGCGGCTAAGCCAGCTCAAGCAGTCAGGGTCAGAGACCTATGGAATCATACGCGACTTCACCAGAGGTATTCTTCGGGAGAAATTCCTCAGACAGCTTTGTCTGTGCGAGGCTTTGAAGACCATGCTTCAATTTCCTCGGTTAGTCACAGAGATGGCCTCCTGCTGAGTGACTGCCCTTGAGGTCAGATGAAAGCTCTGGGTTTCCAGTGAAGAAATGGGAATTGGCTGGGGATGTGGTCAGTTCGTAGAGCGCTTGCCTAGCATGCTCTAGGTTGGAGCCCCCAGAACTGACTAAATTGGGCATAGTGGGACACACCTGGAATCTCAGCGTTCTGGAGGTGGAGGCGGAAGGATCAGACATTCAAGTCCATCAGCTACATAGAGTTCAAGACTATCCTGGGATATGTGAGTCCCTGTCTCCAGGCGGAAAATAGCAGTGTACTGTAACAAGACTTTAGGTCCACCTCAGAGGCTGGAGGCCATGCTGCAAGGTCCTCGAGGACCCATTCATCTGAGTGTAGTCCTATTAAATAGATGTTCTTCCTTTATCAGTGGACATTTGCCAATTCGTTTTTTAAAATGTATTTATATTTTATGTACATTGGTATTTCGACAGCATCTATGCCTGTGTGAGCTTGTTGGATCCCCTGGAACAGGAGTTACAGACAGTTGTGAGCTGCTATGTGGGTGCTGGGAATTGAACCTGGGTCCTCTGGAAGAGCAGCCAATACTCTTTTTGTTTTTGCTTTTGTTTTTGGAGACAGGGTTTTTCTGTGTTGCTTTGGAGCCTGTCCTGAAACTTGCTCTGTAGACAAGGCTGGTCTCAAACTCACAGAGATCCCCTGCCTCTGCCTCTCAAGTGCTGGGATTAAAGGCGTGCGCCACCACCGCCCTGCTGCAGCCAATGCTCTTGACCACTGAACCATCCCTCCAGCCCCCACCAGTTTCATATTCTAAAACCAAAAATAGTGGTGTCATAAAATAGGCTAACATTTACAGTGTGCTTGAAGGCACACATCTTATGTGTTACCTCCTCAGTCTTAGTCCTGTCTAAGGTGATGATGATGGAACGGTGATTTTAACTTCTTTTTTGAAATAGGTGTGGCTGTGTAGCTGAGATCCATTTGGAGCTCACTATGTAGTGTAGGCTGGTCTTGAACTCAGACATTCCGTCCTCAGCCTTCCTAGATCTTGGATTATGGATAGCTCGACCAAACCCGATTATAATCTTATCACATTCAATTGTTTCTGTCTGGCTGTGCACACCTGTGCATGTAGGAGGGCAAGTGCACAGCTGTGGAGGTCAGAGGTCGGCTCTCAGGAGTCAGTTCTCCCTGTCATCGGGTGCACAGCTGTGGAGGTCAGAGGATGCTCTCAGGAGTCAGTTCTCCCTGTCATGAGGTGTACAGCTGTGGAGGTCAGAGGATGCTCTCAGAAGTCAGTTCTCCCCTTCCATCTAGTAGACTCCAAGGGTTGAGTGTTGGTGTCAGTTTTGGTTGCCAGTACTTTTACCAGATAAGCAGTTTTGCTGGTTCAGACACAAAAGAGGAGACATGATGGGGTGCCACGCCCGAGTAGTTTGGCAGGGATTTTAACTTCTGAGCGCTGGTCTAGAGTCTTGGGTTACCATAAGTACTGTTTTGCCAAGAAACTCGATAGGAGGTACAAGCACCATAGCTTAAGAAGTTAAGTGTGTGTATTTTGACTTTGAAGCCAGGTGTTGCAAACAGATCCAATGTGGTATAGGTTTCGGAATCACAACGAATTGGATCATGAGAACGCATTTACTCACTATTAAAGGAGTCTAAAGGTATTTTCTTCTGAGGACAGTCCATGCACACACGATTAAGCCTGCAAGTCACGACGCTTTCAACTCATCCATCATCATCACCTGGCCCGGACCAGGGATGGAGACAGGCGCGTCTGCCCCAGCTGGTCACCAGGGGGCGCACGAGTCCCCCTGCGGCGAAGACTTCTGGGAGGCGGCTCCAGACCGCGCGTGCGCGCATCGTTTCTGGGTTTGGGATTGGACCTTTCAGGCTTCGGACCCCCGCTGTGCGCAGGCGCGGCAGAGGCAGCGCGCTGGCATCTCTGGAGCGATGGCTGCTCAGAGCTTCGCTTCCCGCCACAGGGACTCGCTGCGGTTTCTGAATGGCTTCTTGGCCGGGGCCGTCGTGGGCGCGGCGGGCGCGGGACTGACGGCGCTGCAGCTCCTCCGGCGTCGGGACGGCGAGCCGCACGGTGAGTCTGCGGGCGGGCGCCATCCCCCGGCCTCCACGTCATTGCCCTCTGTCCTAAGCGCCAGCTCGAGCTGAGACTCTGTTTGTTCTCCACCTTAGGTGCAGCCCAGTACCTGGTACAGAGCTGGCCTTCAGTAAGTGTCTTAGTTTCTTTTCCTGTAGCTGTAACAAGCAAGCAAATACCCGACGAAAGCCGCTTAAGAGAATGGTTCGTTTTTGCTCCCAGTTCGAGGTGCAGCCCCTATTATGGCGGGGAAGGACCTTAAAGCAGCTGGCCACACCGCTTCCACAATCAGGAGGCAGGAATGAATGCCCGCTGCTGCTAGGCCCCTTTCTATACAGTGTGGGATTCCCAGCCAGGGAATGACCCCGCCCACAGTTAAGCTGGGGGTTCCCAGGTCACTGAGTGCAACCATGATCCCCTCCCACACCCCACACCCCTGCATAGGCATACCCAGGCCTGTCTCAGGTGATTTAGTCTAGATTCTATCAAATTGACATTAGCCCTCACAGCACGCATGTCTGAAGGAGTTTCTGTGAAGACTGACTACCCAGTCTTCAGAGTACGTAAGTCCTTACGTTCCCCCGGGGGCACCTGCAGGCCCCGCTTGTCCCAGGATGTGCTATGTGCTGAACAACCAGCTTCTTTGATACTTGCCACTGTGCCGGAGGACGTCTCTGGTGGTTGGTGCCTGGGAAGTAACTGGCTCGGTGTTAGGCGAGAGCTCGTTTTGTTTTTTGGTTTTTTTTCTTCTTTCTATCTCTCTCCCACTAGGAGAAAGTACTGGGTTCCCAGTCTTTCCTTGGATTAAAACATGGTGGAAGTGTCAGTGAGGGATTGTTTAGGTTTTTTTTTTGACCCAGCCAGGCATCAAACCTGTTGGAGTAACAGGTGTGTGCTCCCACTCCTGGAGTTTTGGTCTTTAGAAAAATGAAAACGAATATTTAGCCAGGCAGATGGGATACCATGGTGATGAGAAACTACAGTTATGGCCATTTTTGCCTCCTTAAGTAGAAGCCTCTTTCCCATCCAGTTTAATCAGTGACTGATAGCGGTGACGTGATGGTTTTCCTTTGAGGTCTCCTTATAGTTTGAGGTGCAGACGGATTTGGGAAGCTAGTAAGATCCGGTCCTTGTTTATTTTGGCACCAGGAACTGACTAGCACTTGTCCAGCGCTGTCACTGAGCTGTGCCCGCCTCCACCCTGCACACCTCTTGCCAGGCCTTTATTTGAGAGTCCTGAGGGTGGCAGCGCATCCCTGTAAACTCAGCAACCTGTGGTAGGTGGAGGCAGCAAGCAGGAACAAAAGTTCAAGGCCTGCCTGGACCACAGAGCGAGTTCACAGTTAGCGGAGCCATGCAGCGAGACCCTCTGTCAGACTGAAACATGGAAGGATTGGGAATGTGGCCCTCAGGAATTCTGCCTAACACGAGTGAGAACCCTGAGTTCATTCCCCAGCACCAAAACCAAATACACACCCCCTAGAGTTGAGGCTTGATGAGTACACAGCAGGCCGTAGGCAGGGGATTTTGCTGGCCGTTTTCTCTGACTGAATAACTGCACAAATGAGGTCTGTCTTGTTAGAGCCTCCTGCCCCTCAGCTTTGGGAATCACTCCTGCTGAGACCTTTGAGCCGTTTGCTTTTAGGTACCGCTGTCTTGGTAGTCGTTTGTTCTTAGTAAGAGTCACTAATTACTTGTATTTTATTCACCCCCTCTTTTTCTTTCTTTTTTTTTTTAATTTATTTTCTTTTTCTTTCTTAGAATCTGCAGAAAAAGTTGTCTTGGAACAGTTTGGATTTCCTCTGACCGGAACGGAGACCAGGCGCTACACTAACCATGCCTTGTCTTATGATCAGGCAAAGCGGGTGCCCAGATGGGTCCTTGAGCATATATCCAAGGACAAGATCGTAGGTGGGTTCTTGGAACAGAGTGCAGGCACTGATGAAAGGGTTTCCAAGTTTAGAGTAAGGGGATGGTTGAGAATATTTTCAACTGTAGCCTGTCACAGCACACACTGAATATGATGCTTATTTTTCCTCTCTGATTAAATGGATCAAGTTTAGTCTCCAAGGAGCCCAAGATCCTTTCCAGCTGGTTCAGGGGCTGAGAACATCCGTGTTTCAATAGTTGAGTTTCAAGACCCCATCCTAAATATTCACGCAGTGAGCATCATCTTTACCATCTTTACCTTAACAGGGCTTTTTTTTTTTTTTGGCTTTGGAGCCTGTCCTCAACAGGTCTTTTTTTAAACACCCACTAAGTGTCGCACAGTGGTACGAAGCTCTGGGCATATAGCCATGACTAGAGTAAATGGTCTATAGTCCTGTGGCATCTTATTTATTTAATTCTTTTATTATTTATTTATTTATTTTTCGAGACAGGGTTTTCTCTGTGTAACAGCCCTGGCCGTCCTGGGGCTCACTTTGTAGATCAGGCTGTCCTTGAACTCAGATATCCACCTGCCTCTGCCTCCTGAGAGTGCACCACCACCTCCCACTGTCCTCTCCCAGTAGCCCTCAGTGAGAAGTGGAGCTTTGTGATGCCCCTCGCCCCTCTGCGGGTCTTTGTCTGGTTTGAGCTTGTGCAGGTCTTGACCTGATGGTCCCTTTTCACGTTTATTCCGTGGTGGTTTCTGTCCCCTCACCTTTGTTTTCACTGGGCTTGCTGTCCAGGGTGGTTTCTTCACTGAAAGGCCAGAGTCTGAGTGTGAGAGTTAGTGTCCCTGCGTGAGAATCAGCCTGTCCTAGACCAAGGCTTACTCAGATGAAATAGATCAACTATTTTAGGAGCTTAAGACATGTGGTCCCTAATACAGCCACTTGAAGGAGTACCGTCTCACAGAAGCCCACTTGCCTGTCTTAGAGACCCACTGATCAGCATTTTGTGTGTTTTTTCTTCAGGTGACGCGGACAGAAAACATTGTAAATTCAAGCCTGATCCCAGTGTCCCTTCAGCCTTCAGTGCCCTCAATGAGGACTATGTTGGAAGTGGCTGGTCACGAGGACACATGGCCCCAGCAGGAAATAACAAGTTTTCCAGTGTAGGCACACTTTTGAGAGGATGAGGATGTGTGGCTGATGGTCTAGGGACTGGAACATAAAGCTTGAGGATGTCCGTGTCTGTCTGTCTGTCTCTTGCCTCTGAAAACTAAATTCTAAATGTAAAGGGGGCAGAAAAGCCACTAGGGGCTCAGCTACTCATTCTTCTTTTTAAAAGTTTGAGAGCTTTAGAAAAGCTGAGACAAAGTGGCTGTGCATCTGACCCCAGTGGCAGCCAGGCTAGAACCGCAGTGGCGGCCAGGCTGGGACCTCAGTGGCGGCCAGGCTGGGGCCGCAGTGGCGGCTAGGCTGGGGCTGCAGTGGTGGTCAGGACCGGCATGCCGGTCAGGCTGGGACCGCAGTGGCGGCCAGGCCGGGGCTGCAGTGGCGGCCGGGACAGCAGTGGCGGCTAGGCTGGGGCCGCAGTGGTGGCCAGGACCGGCATGCCGGTCAGGCTGGGACCGCAGTGGCGGCCAGGCCGGGGCTGCAGTGGCAGCCGGGACCGCAGTGGTGGCCAGGGTAGAACTGCAGTGGCGGCCAGGCTGGGACCACAGTGGCGGCTGGGACCCCAGTGGTGGCCAGGGTAGAACTGCAGTGGCGGCCAGGACCACCATGCTGGTCAGGCTGGGACCGCCCTTGAATGGATGGATATGGTGATGGCAGCTGGTGACTGCGGTCATTCAAACAGCTTTGTGTACGTTGGACAGACATGCCACGTGAATGGGTTTGTGGTGGCTAGAAACTGGGAGAAAAGGACGTTTTCTCTGCCACTTTTGAATTAAATGTTTTGTTGTTGTTGTTTGTACCTTAAATAAAATCCCAGAAAGTTAACCTTTCCTCCAGAAGTTACTCTGCAGCTCTCTTTGGAGACTTTTAGTCACTGGAGCTCATGAACATGCTTTTGGATGATACAAATGCTGGGAAAGCCAGGCACACTAAACTATTTACATTGTAGTTCTTATTTTTTTTTTTTTTTTTTTTTTTTTTTTTTGGTTTTTCGAGACAGGGTTTCTCTGTGGTTTTGGAGCCCGTCCTGGAACTAGCTCTTGTAGACCAGGCTGGTCTCGAACTCACAGAGATCCGCCTGCCTCTGCCTCCCGAGTGCTGGGATTAAAGGCGTGCGCCACCACCGCCCGGCTGTAGTTCTTATTTTTTATTGTAGTTGATACTTTTATTATTTGAGACAGTCTCATGTGGTACAGGCTGTCCTGGAGCCCGTTATGTAGCTTAGGTTAACCTTGGGTTCCTGATCCCCTGTTTTCACCTCTGAAGCGCAGGTATGATAGGCATGTGCCACTGTATCCATCTTATAGTCTTTTAAAAAATTAATTAATTTTTTTTTGAGAAAGGGTTAGTCTTTTTTTTTTTTTAGTTAAATTTATTCTGCATATAGTGCGTGTATGTGTGCATGAATTGTATGTGGACAACTTGTAGAATTCTTTCCTTTCACTTTTTTGTTAGTTCCAGGCACCAAATTTGGGGTAACAAGCTCATGGGGCAAGCACTTTTACCTGCTGAGCAATCTCATTGACCCTGGAGCTGTTATATTGCATAAATGACAGAATTCTCTGTCTTAGAATATTTACGCCTTTGTTTATCTAAGCAAGTCTCTGTGGGTTGGGATGTGGATGGGTGGCAGAGTGGCTGCTGGCCTCAGCGGATTCCAGCCTTGATGAGTGGTCCTGTGGTCCTAGCTGTTAGAGATGAGGTGTTAATTTGGGGCTATCAGCACCTGCTGTGGAGCCTTTGAAAGGAAGGCATGCCAGAATAACATGCTGTTTCCTTTTCTTTCACAGAAGGCCATGGCGGAGACCTTCTACCTTTCTAACATTGTGCCTCAGGATTTCGATAACAATTCTGGCTACTGGAATAGGTAGGTGTGGATGAGCGTGGTGTGATGAGACTGTTGGGGCATGTATGCGTTGTCTCTCGCTTTCCAGATGCTCTCCTGGCTGAAAGGCCCGTCCCTTGGCTGTGTGGGAGCAGACTTCAAAAGATAGCCTGCCTCTTTGTTCACTTCTGTTCAAGTCAGGTTTTGAGAGAAGATAGCCTGCCTCTTTGTCTTTGTTCACTTCTGTTCAAGTCAGGTTTTGAGAGAAGTGACTCAAAGTAACATTCCTGGTAGTAGCGAGCCATGTGTCCAGGGAAGGCTCTTTGTTTAAGTTTCTAAGCTTTTTGGGGGAGGCACTGTCAATTGCCAAGGCTGGCCACCTGCTTGGGCTTCTCCTTCCTCAGCCTTGAAAGTTCTGGGGTGGCAGGGGTGAACCAGCATACTGCCTGTTTCTGAACTTTGTGAGAGAAAGATTTGGTGTGGTGCAGTTCAGCACAGCCGTTAACCATTTTAGTTGTAGAAACCAGAACATCTGAGCCTTCTGCTTTCTTTTAACATTGTTACATCTGTCCTGTGGTCTCAGCAGGCGTTGGGACTAACACTGGTTGAGGTTGTTTCAGGCAGGTGTGCTTTTCTTGTATTTTACGGTTCAGAATAAGGATAGAAGTGTAGTTCATCAACAGACTACTTGCTTCAAATGGGTAGGTGCCGTGGCTTTCATCCTTAGCCCCAAAGGACCAAAACCAAACAAACAAAAGAAAGAAAATAAAGCTGGGGAGATGGCTCAGCACTTAGAGCATGCTTGCTCGTCTAGAGGGTCTGAGTTCAGTGTCCAGCATCAGCGTGATGGCCCCAGCTGCCTGTGACACTAGTTCCATGAAACCTAGTGTCCTCTTCCGGTTCTCACATGTACACTTACATACATGCAGGTAACACACACATAAAAAGATAAATAAATTTTAAAAAATAAGCATTAAGAAAATGCCCTATACTTAAAAACCCAGGGGCCAGAGAGGCAACTCAGTGGTTAAGAGCCAGCGTTGCTCTTGCAGAGGACAGGAGTTTGGTTCTCAGCTTCCGTACCAGCTAGCCCACAGCTGCCTGAGATTCCAGCTCCAGGGCTTCTAACACCTCTGCCGGGCTCTGTGGCACCTGCACTCATGTGCTTGTATGCAAACACAGACTCACAAAAACCATGAGAGGAGTCTGTAAAGACCAGTAGTTTCCAGTCAGCGCACATCTGCTGCATCCATGTATCCTAACCCCTCCCACCTGCTCAGATTATAACATATGCCATCATACATTGTATTTTTAGGAGAAAAGAATTGGTTTAAAATGTAACCCACAATTGCACTTATAAATGTGCAGTATCTCTGGTACCAGCTTGACGGTGCTTGTTCCCCCGAGTATTTGCTGCTGTTGGGTTGTCCAGCTGAGGTTCAGAGTTAACTCGTGCATCCTCTCACTCCTCTGTGAAGCTCTTCCTTCCAGCTTGTTGAAGCTCTGGAATGTTCTTCCCCCTTCCCATGTTGTGTTGCTGATTACACACCTGTGGGGGCCCTTTACATTTCTTTTCCCTGGGGAGATCTTTGTAGAGAGGAGAGCTTCACCTTGTAGCTGGGCATTTGCACTGTGAAAGCAACGGAGAGGAATGGGGACAAGAGCTGCCATCTCCTTCAGATCCCGGCCTAGTGCATTATAAAAAGTGGTGTTGCACTTCTTCAATCCCAGCACTCGGAGGCAGAGGCAGCCTGGTCAGTTAGGGCTGTTACACAGCAAAACCCTGTCTCAAAAATCAAAAAACAAAACAAAAAGTGCTTATCCCTACCATGTTGATTGTGTTGTGAACCTGTCTCTGTCCCTAGCACTGTGCTGTGTAGATGGCTTCCACTGGGGCGGCCAGAACCTAACAGTTCCTGTGGTAAGCTAGGTAAAGGAGTCTGTGTTTCTCGTCTCTTTAGTGTTTTAGGATACATTCTGGTGACAAGTGCCACTACTAAACTGACCGTTTGGCTCCATCAGTCTTTCAGGATTGATTTTCTAGAAACAGCCGTGGTTTAGGGAATTGCGGTTTAGCTTTTGACTTTTCCAGGTAATGCTGGAGACAGTCTGAGAAGCGTCTCCATGTAAGTCTGACCTTCAGCTTCAGATGGGATAAGCCTGCATAGCTGCAGTCTTGATACGGTGTAGGCAAGGCTGATCTCTAACCTGTACAGATCCTCCTGCCTCTGCCTCCTGGGTACTGGATTAAAGGTGTACAACATCAAGCCCGATTTGATATATTTTTTAATAGTTTGAAGTTCAAAAGACTGCTTTAAATTTTTTTTTCAAAACAGGGTTTCTCTGTATAGCTCTGGCTGTCCTGGAACTTGCTTTGTAGACCAGGCTGGTCTCGAATTCAGAGATCTGCCTGCCTCTGCTTTCCGAGTGTTGGGTTTAAAGATGTGTACCACTACCTTCTGGCTTTAAATTGTTTTTTTTAGACAGGGTCTCACAGTGTAGCCCCGGCCTGTCTGGAACTCTTTGTAGACCAGATTAACCTTGAACTCATAAGAGATCCAATTGCTTCTGCATCCTTGGTGCTGGGACTAAAGGTGTGTGCCACTATAGGTATTCCTAAGCTAATTTCTTAAATGAGATAGATTCTTGGTGTCTTTCCTAGGGACTGGGTGACTTGTTGCTTTCTTTCTTTTTATTCTTTTTTTTTTTTTAAATCTATTTATAGTGTTCTGAGCACCAGATCTCATTACAGATGGGTGGGAGTCATCATGTGGTTGCTGGAGATTGAACTCAGGACCTCCGGAACAGCAGTCAGTTCTCTTAACCTCTGAGCCATTTCTCCAGCCCAGACTTGTTGCTTTCTTACATGTATGCCTGTAAACATATAACATGTTTTGATGGTTTTTCAGGATAGAAATGTATTGTCGTGAACTGACGGAGAGATTTGAAGATGTTTGGATAGTATCAGGACCTTTGACCTTACCTCATACTAGCGATGGGAAGAAAACAGTTAGTTACCAGGTAGGTAGGGACTTGTAACATTCGTACTTGTGTTGTTCCAAGGACTCGTAATCTCATTCGATGCTCTGCTTTTTAATTTCATTTGTTCAGCTTTATTTAGAGTTTCTTTTTTTAATGTTGAAGACACAGGACACTTGTGGACTGCAGGAAGCAGACCACGTGTGTGAGAAGTTCTAATGACATAGAGACACGAGAGACCGTAGCTGCTGTTGTGGGCATCTTACAGGAGTGCAGGAGCAGGGCTGAGTGTTCTGCTGACACCATGTGCCTGGAGCTCTTCATGCACTGTGCCAGGAGGATGGGTGTGTGGTCTGCATGCATCTGTGATTGCGACCAGATGTGCCGTGCGGTTTCAGCACCGAATGTGCTTTCACGTAGGTCCCTGGGACAGCCTGCTTCACTCTCCTTAAAGTTACGCTGGGGACTTCTTTTGGTCATTATGCCCAGTCATTCTTATTGGTGATGAAGGAAAGCAGAAAAATTCATTCTTTAAGACTAATCCGTGCAGGGCGGCGATGGTACACGCACGCCTTTAATCCCAGCACTTGGGAGGCAGAGATGGGCTGGCTCCAAAGCTACTGAGAAACCAGAAAAAGAAAGACTAATTTGTTTCAGTTTTCTCTTCTGACCAAATTGCTAATTTAATTTTAGTATTTATTTATTTTTATTGCTGGTTTTTTTTTTTTTTTTTGAGGCAGGGTCTCTCTAGCTTTGGAGCCCGTCCTGGAACTAGCTCTTGTAGACCAGGCGGCTACAATAATCTTAGAATTTGCCAGGCAGTGGTGTCGCACACCTTTAATCCAAGCACTCAGGAGAAAGAAGCAGGTGGATTGCTGTGTTTGAGGTCAGCCTGGTCAACAGAGTTCCAGCACAGCCAGGGCTACACAGAGAAACTGTCTTTAAAAAAAAAAAAATCTTAGAACCAAAATGCTTAGAACTGCCTGTTATTTTTGTTTTTGATATAATTATACTTGTCTTTGCCTAGATCCTTTTACTCTCACCACCAAAAAGTTTGGTGACTGTAAACCTGAAATTAAGTTACAGTTTTACTTAGGTTTTGATTTATGAAATTGAGAGATTTATATAAATAGCTTGCTGTGTAATAAAATTTTTACTCAATATAAAAGGAAAATTAACTTTTAATCAGTGTCTGATGTAGTTTTTGACATTTTTTATTATTTAAAACAATTTTTTAAATTTAAATATATTTGGATCATAGTCTTTCCCTCCCCCAAGTTCTTCTAGATCATCTCCCCCTCTCTATCCACCCGACTTTAAGTTCGTTCTCAAACAGACAAAAATCTAATACAACAACCCTCCTTTTCCCAAACCAAGACAATACCCAAGAAGATAAAAAAGCAAATGGAACCCATAAATATGCATATACAGTGGCATGGTGTTTCTGTGACCTGTGTTGTTCAGATGCATCAATGTTTGATGTTTTGCTCTTCTTACTGAATATGACTTTCTAGACTACAGCTTATAAAAACGTGTGTCCTACTTTGTGCCGAGCTGTCTTAGAAGCAGTGATAGAGGCTTTTAGCCACCAGCAGATCTGGCTTTCTAAAAATCACCTCTTGGTAAATGGCCCCAGCACTTTGGCGAAGTGGCTGGTTCCCTCAGAGTCTGCGTAGGGGAAAGTACAAAAATGGAACATCTCGTCCTCAGCCAAGGAAGTGCTCAGGAAAACGGGCATATCAGGAGGACAGGAATGAGCTGGAAGGAGCGCTTGCTTACCATATCTGACTGAATAGGAAAGCCAAGAGGAGTGTAACCCTTTGGGGTTAGGTCAGAATACCACAGGTGAGTAAACACACAGGTTGCAGGGGACATTCCTGACTGGTGTCAGCCAGGGAATTGGCCGGAGTGCGGCCATCACAGCAACCAGTGATTGAAGCGGAAATCATCTGTGAATGCCAGAGCGTGGGCAGCAGTTCTGTGAGGAACAGAACACTTCCCGTCCCCTAGTCACTCAATGGTCAAAAGGTGAGAAGTGTTAACTTTACCTTCCTAACCCAAGGACCACGGCTAGCATCTCTAGCAGAGGGACTTAGAGAAGTTGGCACTTCAGGGTGACATTTGGAGAATTCTGCAAAAATGTGGGGCATTCACTCCCATGGTGTGGAAATAGTGGGTGGAGCCCAGGGGAGGACATTATAAAACACACTGTGCTCGTCACAGAGAGGGGCCATGTCATAGTTGGGGAACCATCCACTGACCTTGAATCAGGAGTCCTGACTGAGATGTAAAGACAAAACCTATAGTGTGGTCTTAGAGACAGAAAACAAGGCTACCCTGTGGGAAGTTTTCTTTGGGCTGACGAGGGAGGGGGAGGGAAATGGGAGGCGGTGGCGGGGAAGAGACAGAAATCTTTAAACAATCAATCAATAAAGAAAGAAAGAAAGAAAGAGAAAGAAAACAAGGCTACCGAGGAGTATTTGGGGACAGCCGGTTACGTTTGAGGTTTGGAGACTGGTTGGTTCTCAATTTCCTGGTTTTGGTCATTGGTCTGTGACTGTGTGAGTGAATGTCTCTGTAAGACAGAATGTCCTGTGGATCAAGCAGTGGGTCTGTGACTTAGTTTAAATAAGTTTAGGGATAACAGACAAGAGAATGATAAAGAAATCAAGGAACTTGTTAACAGTTGGTGGGCATAGGTGGACAGTGGATGGAGCTCTTAGAGCATTTGCAAAGTCTGTGTGAAATTCAGAATTGAAAACATGGGAGGATGCTGCTGTGCCTCTGGTTACACTGGATTGTGTGCACCGTCAGTGACTGTGGTTACACTGGAGTGTGTGCACCGTCAGTGACTGTGGTTACACTGGAGTGCATGCACCGTCAGTGACTGTGGTTACACTGGAGTGCGTGCACCATCAGTGACTGTGGTTACACTGGAGTGTGTGCACCGTCAGTGACTGTGGTTACACTGGAGTGTGTGCACCGTCAGTGACTGTGGTTACACTGGAGTGTGTGCACCGTCAGTGACTGTGGTTACACTGGAGTGTGTGCACCGTCAGTGACTGTGGTTACACTGGAGTGTGTGCACCGTCAGTGACTGTGGTTACACTGGAGTGTGTGCACCGCAGTGACTGGTTACACTGGAGTACGTGCACCGTCAGTGACTGGTTACACTGGAGTGCGTGCACCGTCAGTGACTGTGGTTACACTGGAGTGCGTGCACCTTCAGTGACTGTGGTTACACTGGAGTGTGTGCACCGTCAGTGACTGTGGTTACACTGGAGTGCGTGCACCGTCAGTGACTAGTTACACTGGAGTGTGTTCCCATCAGTGACTGTGGTTACACTGGAGTACGTGCGCTGTCAGTGACTGTGGTTACACTGGAGTGTGTTCCCATCAGTGACTGGTTACACTGGAGTGCGTGCACCGTCAGTGACTGGTTACACTGGAGTGTGTTCCCATCAGTGACTGTGGTTACACTGGAGTACATGCGCCGTCAGTGACTGTGGTTACACTGGAGTGTGTTCCCATCAGTGACTGTGGTTACACTGGAGTGTGTGCGCCATCAGTGACTGTGGTTACACTGGAGTGCGTGCACCGTCAGTGACTGGTTACACTGGAGTACGTGCGCCGTCAGTGACTGGTTACACTGGAGTACGTGCACCTTCAGTGACTGTGGTTACACTGGAGTGTGTGCACCTTCAGTGACTGTGGTTACACTGGAGTGTGTTCCCATCAGTGACTGGTTACACTGGAGTGCGTGCACCGTCAGTGACTGTGGTTACACTAGAGTGCGTGCGCCGTCAGTTACTGGTTACACTGGAGTGTGTTCCCATCAGTGACTGTGGTTACACTGGAGTACATGTGCCGTCAGTGACTGTGGTTACACTGGAGTGTGTTCCCATCAGTGACTGTGGTTACACTGGAGTGTGTGCGCCATCAGTGACTGTCGTTACACTGGAGTGCGTGCACCGTCAGTGACTGTGGTTACACTGGAGTGCGTGCACCGTCAGTGACTGTGGTTACACTGGAGTGCGTGCACCGTCAGTGACTGTGGTTACACTGGAGTGCGTGCACCGTCAGTGACTGTGGTTACACTGGAGTGCGTGCACCGTCAGTGACTGTGGTTACACTGGAGTACGTGCGCCGTCAGTGACTGGTTACACTGGAGTGTGTTCCCATCAGTGACTGTGGTTACACTGGAGTGTGTGCGCCATCAGTGACTGTGGTTACACTGGAGTGTGTTCCTATCAGTGACTGTGGTTACACTGGAGTGTGTGCACCATCAGTGACTGTGGCTACACTGGAGTGCGTGCACCGTCAGTGACTGGTTACACTGGAGTGTGTGCACCGTCAGTGACTGGTTACACTGGAGTGCGTGCACCATCAGTGACTGTGGTTACACTGGAGTGTGTGCACCGTCAGTGACTGTGGTTACACTGGAGTATGTGCACCGTCAGTGACTGTGATTACACTGGAGTGCATGCACCGTCAGTGACTGGTTACACTGGAGTTGGCTGTTCGTTTATCAGTGGATGACTTTTAGGGTGGTCAGTCACCTGAAGAGTTTCTAGAGACTCCTCTCTGCCCAGGGATCAGATTCGTGAGGTCAGTCAGGGTCAACTTCCTAAAGGGTGGATTTTGAGTGATGGTCTTGGTTTTTGTTTTTATCTTAAAGCTTTATTTGTCCTTCTTTGGGCTTCTGAGCTTGTATCATTCCGTGTTTCTATTAGTTTATAGGGCCTACTGATCTTTTGTTTGTTTGAGACAGGGTTTCTCTGTGCAGCCCTGGCTGTCCTGGAACTCACTCTGTAGACCAGGCTGGCCTTGAATTTAGGGACCTGGGTACCTCTGCCTCCAGTGCTGGGATTAAAGGCCTGCTCCACTACTGCCTGGAGGAATGCATATTCTTATCTCAGCTTCAGCACTTTGTGGCGTGTTGGTGGTGTTGGTGGAGGCTGCTGTTCATTCATTCCCAGCTGCCCAGACCCCAAATAATCGCTCAGAAACTATATTATTTGCAATACTGTTTGGCCGATAGC